GTGTGTGTGTGTGTGTGTGTGTGTGTGTGTGTGTGTGTGTGTGTGTGTGTGTATAAACACAAGATAAAGTCTTTGCAAATCTCATAGGAAAATACTGCCACCTCTTGGCTAGACGGAGCACAACCATCTCACTTCATAGAAAAGTTGTAAAGGCTAGTTAAATGCACAGCCAGATTTTTTGCCTGAATTAAATAAAAATGCTGAGAGTATATTAAGCTTATTTATACCATATGTGACAGATCCTGATTATTTCTAGCCCTGATTACTAAGAAATATGGGTGGTGCAATCCAAGAATCTGGAGGGCACCAATTTATATAATAAGCTTGTTCTGTTTCATTTTGCCTTAGTCTTTCTTAATCTCCAGACCACTTGAAAAATTTCACAGACATAAATACAAGCAGAAAGCTAGAAATATTGCTGTTTCCCCCAGTAACAAATGAGAAATTACTAGAACAGAAAGCATTGAACTGAAATTGAACTGAAACATTGTTCAAAATTTGCATGCAATGGACCCCCAAGTACAAGAGTCAAGAGATCAGCAAGGTGGCCATAAATGAAATTCCCTTAGTGATTTCTCACCCTTTATTTTTTAAAATCTGAATGCTGAACCAACATAGCTGGTTTTCAGGAAAGGCAAAGTTGAAAAGTTAATAAAACTTTATAGAATTCACTAATCCGTGTCAAAAGTTCACCTCAGGGAACTGGAGCAATAAAAGCCTGTGCAATATTCACTAAATTTGGTCTTTCTCCACTGCATAATCTAGATGCTATTCTGAGGTTAGATTTCCATTTATCCTGATTTCAGGAAGTATGTAATTACATTAGACAGGTACTTTATTTTAACATTTTTTCTGACTCTTTTGAAAATGGGCAACTGTGACTACTGAGGTCTGTGCTTATTCTTAAGTGTGAAAAACATCCAAAAGTTCCATAGCATAGCCCCCAGTCTAATGCAATTATTTTGCATTTATATTTGTTTCTATAACTGCCTGGCCCAATTTTGATATGGTAACTGGAGTTGCTCAGAAGTTAGTTTCTACTTTATAATGAAGATGACAAACCAAGGTAGTTCTGAGATAAGAGTGAATGGTACCTTTCCCTCAACATATAAAGCAACACAGAAGGAACAAATCCAGAAACACTGTCTCTATTATGTTAGTTTGAGTGTATTTAAAATGTGGCTAAATTTGTTGCATGTATCAATCAAGCTGCCCATCATTCAAAGAACTTGATAGATTGTCTTACCTAATTCTGGGATATCAGGATAAAGTCCAATCTGAGTAACTGAAAAGAGTCAGAACTATGAGAAAAAAGGTAACTTTCTACTATGAAGAGTTTAATATAAATTTGCCTCAAGAAGCCAGTATGCTATTTAAGTGACAGCGCTGGGATTTATTTCCAAATCGATTACTATGGTATGCACAATCTCATGTGCATTATAGAGACCATACAGAAAAATAGAACACTGAACTGACATATTTTTATGTCACTTATTCATACCCCAATAAATACTTATACCTCTCACTTTGTATGGGTATACACGTGCTTGTTAAGAATAGGCATTTTTTTTATTGAGATACATAGTGAGATGGGATAAAAAATACTGACATGAAAAATACAAAATAACTCGTGTTTAACAATTCATTAGCATGGCTTAAATTCAAGTTATTAAAAATCTCTAAAACATTACTCTTTGCTATACTATAGTTCGAACGGAATAATTCATTGACTTGAACATCAGACAAGTATATGCCTATGCCAAAATCTAAATCTATCTCAAGGTGTTAAGTAGGTAGATTTTGAAATCTTAGTAATTTTGGTATGATAGAAACCCTAGAATTTAGGACTTTGATTGTCCCAATTGTCAAAATTGTACTACCGGTCAGTAGATCAAAGTATTGTATATTAAGAAATGTACAATTTCTTACACCAGTCTCTCACTAAAAGAATATCAGATATAAATATTACACAATTAAAAATGATAAACTATTACAACAACAAATCATGTTGTATGTTTTTATTTTAAGTTGTTTGACTTACAGGCACTGTGCATTGATGATGTTCTGTAACTCTGCAAGTTCCTCATCTCCTTGCTAATCAAGGGGAACGGGGTGGAAAGTGTTAGGAGAAATACCTCACAGCAATAGTTCCAGCCTCCAGAAAGATCCAAAAGATATCTGGAGAAATATTTCACTTCTTTAAAAGCCAAAAAGCAAAGAATCTTATTTTACAAACAAACCAGCATATTTTTTTTAAAAAAAGCATGTAATGGAAGTAATTTAAAAGCTAAATACATTTTTATAATAGGATGACTTGAAACTGTTTCATGGTCTTCCCCTTTCCATAAATGCGGAGAGAGATTTCAAAAGCCAAGCATTATCCTTTAAAAAAATTCCATGCATTAAGACTTAGTGTTCTAGATAACTAAAAGTATGGCAATAAATAGTACTTTTAAAAAAAAACCACAATTTTTTTTTCATGACACTGAGTGGAACAGACACTAGTCCATAAGGCACTTTCAGCATAGGCTATTATTAAACAGCGTAGGAAGCCTGAAAGGAAAAAAAAAAAAACTTTGAAGCAAAGCAATTATTTACAACAGCATTAAGAAAAACCAACATTATCTTAGTGATATATGAATGGAGCAAAACTCAATGGGCTAGAATCTTTCTGAAAAGCTTTCCAAGGGATTGTATGCCAATGAATAGCCACCCTCTAAAACAATTGCAATTGTTTCAAGAACAGCACCTCTGGATGCAAGAAACAGGATTACAGCATTACTGTTTGAAAAAATAGTAACAAGACGCTCTGGAGCAGTGTTTCTCAACCTTGGCAACTTTAAGTCCTGTGGACTTCAACTCCCAGAATCCCCCAGCCAGCACAGCTGGGGAATTCTGGGAGTTGAAGTCCACAGGACTTAAAGTTGCCAAGGTTTGAGAAACACTGCTATAGAGGAATATGGAATACATTATAAATATGAAAGGTTTAAAAAATAGCCAGGAAATGGCTCAGGAAAAAATGTAACATAAACTTATAGTCTCAACATCCAAGATTTCTGCAGTATTATGAGTTCTCCAAGAAAATCAAATGCACCAATAATCTTTCTCTCCCAGTTGCTGACCATTTGATTTCAGCAGTCTAATTCAAATGTTCCAGGAACGTATATAATAACTTCTATATCCAAAATAGAGTCAGATATATTTGCAAGACTGAAAGTGGCAAATCCTTATTTAGAGAGACTGCCTATATTTACCTGCCAAATTACTTAACCATCTCCTTTCTCATGTTCCTTGCCAGGCACACAAACATTATGAAACTTTACCATTATAATACTCTGCTTGCTGATATGTTAGGTCAAGTTAATCTCTCTTCTTACAATGGGAGATTTGGAATGATTTGCAGAAGCTCACCTGAGAATGCATTATCCTTTTCAAAAGGGACTGCAGTGCTACCAAAAAGACACCCAGAGGATGGCAGTCAGTGCCTTTGTCATTCTGCAGCAGCCCCTTTCCTGCCACGTGACCAGGTCATCCCATGCTAATGGAAGGGTAGAGAAGGGATCAGATCCTTGCTCTCAGTAGTCCAAACTAATTTCAGTAGCTAAACGGATGCACCATGTAATGTAATCCGCAAAGGCAAACTCTTGCAGTTGCTACAACTATGTATATATTGCACAGTAAGCCAACAAGAAATTACTTCCTTATGTAGAAAAGTTTATCTGATGTTAATTATTCCTATAAACTATTATATTCTAATTCTTATATTTAGGAAAGTTAGTAAATATAAGTTGCTACCATTCCTTTTGTGGGACATTCCCACGAAGAGAGAACACCTATAAAAAAATGCCCAATATAAACATGCTTTCAACATCAGTTGCCCCAAATAATGCTAGCTTTGGACACGAGAGGGCAGCAGATAACTACAAATGCATCCTTCACTCTAGAGATACAATTTAAACAAGTCTAGGGAATTATCTTTCTGGTGCTCAAACATATAAGAACTTTATCACATTTTTAATATACAAAAGTATTTTCTGTTTTAGGATACAGGATACCTAACTCCTAAGGCCAACATTGCTATCTGCTTTGTCTAATTTTTAACTTCTTGTTCAGTGTTTCTTTGGGAACATCACATTTTATTTACACCTTAAATAAAAGAAAAGGAACTTTTAAATTTTAGAACTGGAAGAGAAGGTGGAAGAAAAGTGTCTTGTAGTGCAGATCAGAAAGTCAGTTGGAGGAACTAGGTTGTGGATTAGCTTTAATGCAGATCTTCACGTTGAGACAACTCTGTTAGGATCTCAATTAGATTATCCAGCCCCCAGAGGTAGCCATCCTCTCTGTTCCCCTCTATCCAGGGCACATTGTGCTGCAGAACTTGTCCCTCTGGAAGTGGAGTGGTTTTCCCAAAATCAATCATCCATACTTTGGCCTGCTCCCTCTTGTCATGGATGAAGAGAAGGGAACTCCCAATTACCTGCAAATGCAAATGCAAAAGAACTGAGTATCTCAGAGGAGGAATTAAGAACAAATGTTCCAAATTCTTCTGAAGATAAGATTGCAACTTAAAAAATATATCTCAACAGGATATTGGCATTAACAAATTAAAAACTGAAATTTTAGGTTCTGAATTTTTTAAAGTAGCAACATTTCAACACGTGAGGCAGTAAAAATTGTTTCCCGGTGTTCTCAATGCACACAGTTGTAATGTATACACATTCTTTTGAGTTTTCAGAACCAGATGCCCAATGATTTCCATTTGTGTGTTTAGGGGATATGATTTGACCTAGCTCTAGTTTTTTAAAAGACAAAAGGGGAAATGGATAATTTTACCTCATGGGTCATGAAGAATGGTGATGTTTGCAAAGTATCACGTATCCCCTTTAACCGGTTAAGATAACTGCTCTGAAATTGCAAGGGAAAAAAAAAGTCATACACGCACGCATGCAAGCACGCACACCCCCACACCAAGGCATTATTCCTGAATCAGATACGTTCCATATCTCAGCCCAGATACCAAATGACTTATAAAAAATGAATAAAAGGTGAGAGTAGAGGAGGGAACACCTCCTCGTTTTCTCATAGTCTTTTGAGTGCCATAGTTGGCTCTGAAGCACAAACTGTCCGCCTTTAACATAATATATTTGGATCATGGAGTTATTCAACTTTAATTTTGTTCACACCTTCCTACAAGACAGGATTGCAAACAAATTTATTTGCATAAAAATGATTTCACATTAGCCAGTATCCCTCCTAGCATTGCTCAACCTCATTTCTCAGTTACTCAGATTTATGGTGCTGGGTGACTTTAGGTTTTTCTTCTTGGTTGAACATTCAAAGGTGGCCCAGGAATTCATGGTCACCATGGCCTTGTACCAAACCATCCTGGCCTCAACCCATTTGGGAGGCCACAAATTAGATCTGTTTTTTTGTCTTGGAATGAGAGTAGATACCATTTGTACTTTGTTATGGTCACCAGATTCTGTGAGGTCAGCTCTGCCACTTATACTCTGTCACCAGATCTTGCCTTTCCTGACTGGTAAAAGCAGGAAGCAGGGTTAGGGCCAGAGTGATGGTTATTGCATGCTTGAGAAAAGAGATGCTGTCACTTGTTTCAAAGTAGTGGTGGACCATCCTCATAACATTACTGCTGAATTCAGCAATGTTAAGTAACTACCACAGTAAAAATGCCTAGAGGAAATAGATTTATGTTTTAGAAATAGATTTTCCAGACTCATTTCATTCAGAACTTGGGCTTGAATATAGCACTGAAGCCACTTTGATCATACTTTCAGAGGACCTGTAGTGAAATTGGACAATGACAGTGTTCCTCTCTTGGTCTTGCTGGACCTCATGGTGTCCTCCTTGATTGCCTATATGGGTTAGGTTTGGGGGAGCTGTTTTCCAAGTTGCTCTCTTCCTTTCTGAGTAATGGAGGAGGGCTCTTATTGTGGTGTCTTGCAAGGCTTGGTTTTCTCACTTCTTCTTTTTAACATCTCCATATATGAAGCTATTGGGAGAAATCAGAACTCAGTTGTATATCTTGATTCTGGGCCAAACAAGAGACATGGCTAATGTTCCCTCTTGATGGCTGGAAGCTATCAAGATATGGAAGATAAGAGGTTTAGGCTTAATCCCAGCAAGATGGATAGCTAGTTCTGGACAGATTGCACTATCCTAGACAGAACTGATTCAAAATCTAGGGCTCTTCCTGCACTCCCAGCTCTTCATCAAGGAGTAGATGACATTGTGGCTAGTCGGGGTCTTTGCATAAATTACATCAGGTACAACTTTGCCTGAAAAGAGTCTCATTCATTAATTAACTCTTTTTGGAATATTGCAATATGCCCTGTATTGGCTGCTTCAGAATGCAGTGGCTTGAGTAATCATAGCTATTACAAGGTATTCTTATGTAACACCACTATTTCAGGAACTGTGATGGTTGCTAGTTACTTTCCTACAATGACCTATTATGGTTTGAGGCCTGAATATCCTGCTCCCATTTCCATTTCCATCCATGTGTTAAGTCCTTTTTAAAGAGAACATCATTCACAGTGATTCTGAGGATGAATCTTCTTTGTGAAAACTGTCTGCCCACCCACCCAGTCAACCACGTCTGCAAGATTAGACTAGTCCCTTTCCTGTTAACATTCTGAAAAGGTCTGGATATTTCAAAGCCCTTAGATTCTTGTGCAAAAGGAAGCGCCCTCCAGTTGTATGTGTGTGAAATTTGTTTATTACTTTGTGCAAAATTTATTGCAATGGTAATTTATTGTTTGTCTTAATTTGTTTGCTATTTTAATATATTATTTTTTAATCCTTTTACTGGAAAGGGGTTTGTAAACTGTACTGACTCTTTGGATTAGAATGGTAATGGTTCCAGAAAATAAACAGAGTTTATTTCTTCTCATCAGGATAGCAATTTAATAAAAGAAAAGGAGAATGATTCCACTAAACCTGACTGGGCTTAACATTAATATGTTCAACAAACTAAAGAGATAACACAATTTTCACACAATTTATATATCACAATTTTTTTATGTTTCCTTTCAAAATCAATTTCTTCTAAGGAACATTTAAAATTTAATTTTTTGTTTATAATATGAAGAGGTTGAAAAGCTTTTGAGCAAGATGTCATAATTTGAAACAATCTACTTAGGGTTTAGTTTAGTTAAAGCAAGAGTTAGGCAATTTTATTTTGCTCAGTGGCAACACTTATTTTTAATTTTGGAGCCCTGCAAAAGCATATTGCTATGACATCATCAACTATTGCAAAAAACAATATTTTGGACTTACTTGGTTGTGGTGTTTTATTGTTTTTACTCAAGGTGGGTGTTAAGCCCAGAGGTGTATCACTTATTTTAGGAGCTCAATAGTAAAAAAAAATCTCAACATTTTACTGCTGATGAATTTTGGCAGCATGATATTGTGGTGGGAGGAGAATTCAAAAGAGCATAAAAATGGATTTGGGGACAGTTGTGGCCTGTTGATCCTTGAGTGAAAATATTGCCCATTTCATTACATATCTCCCCTTTTCATTTTGGCATGTGGTTTTGAATGTTAAATTAATCCAAAGTAAGGAACATCAAAGGAAATTGCTAGAATGACTCACCAGAATGTTATGGTTTCCTTTAGTAAATTCTCTGAAGGCGTCCATGACTTGTTCCTTTGTCCGAGTCTTCTTGAAGTCCCTATTCACGGTGCCATCTTCTTTCTTAAAAAAAAAAACAATAACAAAAACATGGCTATTACTCAGAAGAATCTTTTTCTATTAACCCGCTTGCTGTTCACTAGACAGAATGCAGTATATCCTATGACAAAATTTAGAGCAAAAATTTGAGACGGTAATCAGAGCTTAATAAATAGTCACGTGAGGGGGACACACACACACTGCTTTTTTGTTTGTTTGTTTGTTTGTTCTGGGGACACTGGAGAAGTCATTTCTATGTTTAAAACTTTCAATGAAACTAGTTGCGTTCAGCTGCTGCCGTCGGAGGCATTTTTCTTCCATTTGAAACATTTTTCGAGGGTTTGATGCAATTATTTTGGATATGATTGCAAAGGAGGTGAGAAAAATTCATTTCATGAGCAGGTATGTTGAACAATGCTAGCTATGTAGCACTTCAGCACAATGCATTTTGGCATCATAGAAATTACAAGGCTGGAAAGAATCTATATGTTTACCCCAACTTTCTGTCTTACAAGTTGTTATAGTAAGGTTTTCATGTAGTAAGCTATTGTAAGGAGATTGCATTCAGTGCAACAATTGGAAGTTGAAGGCCATTATTTCACTAGACTCAGTAATGTTATTCCTAAATTTACTACCCAATATTCATTTAAATCCATGGAATTTATTATATAACCCTCCGCTTAAGCTTTAGTTTAATGAGCACAGAGATGCCTGAAGATGGAGATAATATAAGCAAGCAGATATAGCCCACTAGTGTAGTTTAGATCTGGATTGAAATATCAAAGTATCTCTCATTTGGCACCATAATTCCTCTATTCAAAACAAGTACAGCATCTTATTTTTACTCCTGCTTCCACCTTCCTGAAAATGGGACACTTGCATGCTTTGGGCTCCAATAATTTTTGAAATAATGTTTTTTTTTTAAAAAAAGTATTAAAAACAATAGGTAAGCAATTCTAATAGGGGAACAAATGAAAACTGGTATATATAGGCAGCGATGTTTTGTTGAAAAATGAAGGAATAAGATCTCTGTTTGAAGGTATGAAATGCAAGGTTAACAATAAATATAAGTATACTTTCTGGGGAAAAATAATGCTAATGTTAACTGAATATATATTGTAGAATGGAAATGAGGCCTTTACTTATATTAGATGAAACATTTGAGACAGTAAATAATACTTGAAGATGCAGATGTTAAAACACTTGTAACCAAACGACATGCTGCATGTGATGATGTGTTTTTTTTTCCTTCCCCTTTTTTGGGTCTTTTCCTTTTTTTTTTTTTTAACCCTAGGTTATTGTGGTGTCTATTAAATATATAACAGAGAGATACAGGGTGTGTGTATGGGGGGAAACGTAGTAGGGATGCACTTGTAATCAAATGACATACTGTATGGGATGATGGGGGGGGGTTCTTTTCTTTTTGTGTGTGGGTTGTTGTTTTTTCCCTCTGCCTTTTTTTTTCTATTGTTATGTGATTATGTTGTCTATGTAACAAAAATAAAATATTTTTTTTAAAAAAACAATAGGTAGAATAAAAAACAACTTTTTATTGTAGCTTCTGTAAGAATTTAATATTTCCTTCCTAGCAGCTTAGCTTTACTAAGAACTGGTATCTGAAACCACTATTGACACAGCCAAACGTTTTGATGTGTTAATGTCCCTCCAATACCCGTTTTGTACTTTTCCACATATCCAAACAACTGGGGGAATGTTGTAATGTTTGCAACATCCAGTAAACCATTTACATCTGAGCTTTTACTGTTGCTCAGGTAGACAAGGAAGAATAAGAAAGGCATTCCACTTATATGAACATAAGCAGCGCCCTGCTGACTTGGACTTTGGCTCATCTGTTCCCTACTACTTTCCCATTGATCCCCATGACTTCCATGAATCAGTCCATTCCTTTTTTTGTAACCAGGCAAAATGGCTTCATGACAGGGATGAGGCTATAGCAAACCTAAGCCTCTGAAGACTTAGGAAGAATTCACATTTTGCTATATTCTCCATTCATAAGACCAGACTCTTGGCTGAATAAGTAGGTTAAAAGCTACTACTATATGAACCTTTATGACTATACATAATAACAGGGCAAGGCAATATAACAGGGCAAGGCAAGAAGTTTTACATCTGCAGCTCCGTGTGTCCAATGATGCAACACAAAAAGGAGAAGGGAAAGAGTTAATGCCACAAAGAATTCCATGAACCTGCCATACCAAGTTAATAATGGGAAATCACATCTGTCCCCAAAGAAACCTGCCTCAATAACACGTACTCTGCAAAGATATATTATATATGGAATGGTTAAACCTAGACAAGAAATATTTGACATTTTACATTACGTGACAAGTTAATCACAGATTCATTTCCCATGCACTGTTGCAACAGACAAATCTGAAAGGCTACCTTTATTCCTTCAATCCGGAACCCTAACGTTGCTGTAGAACTTATAGTTTCTCTCCACTGCATGTACCGAGGCTTGGTCACTGCATGTTGAGAGTTCTCTTCCTCAGTCGGAGCCTCGGGATCTACTTCAATCATCTTCAGATACATGTCTTTCCGCAAACTTGGCTTCTTTCTGGCCTTTGATAACTCCTCTTCCACATAGGTCCTGCAAAGCCAATATGTTCACATTATCATATTTGGAAACCGATTTATTACTACTGTATCACTGATGTCTGGACAGAAGCACAGGTTCCTCCCTATCTTCTCTAGAAAAAGACAGGCAAGATGCAGTCATTGAAACGTAACTTTTATTGTTGGGCCTCATGGAAGAATACAAATTACTCATCCATACTCCACATCTTCATTTATTGCAATATTATGAAAGTTAACATCATCTGTATCAGTACAACAATGGCAATTTTTTGAGCGATTCAAGTGAACATACTGGAGTCAATCAGATTTAAATATTGGAAGCACTCTCTAATGCAGACAGAATTATCTTCCAAGGGCATGGTCCTTCCTGTATAGCCAACTCTGAAAAGTTGAAGACACTTTAGTTTCCGAAGTACATGGTATGAAGAGTGCTTATGTGTAAAAACAATTGTTTTCTTTTTCAATGATATATACAGTAAAGTAGTCGGAAATGGTCTGAGTCACTAGTTGTTCTGAAAGCTCCATGAAAGAAGTGACTGGTTTCCTTAAGGTATTAAATTGTGTATTTTGGAATGTTTTCCATACCTAAAGTGCTTCCATCATTTACTGGCAAGTAGACACGAAAGAATACTATTAGTAATACAATGAACCGAGGTATGGAATACAATAGATAGAACAAAAATTGGGGTTTTTTTGCTTAATTTTCCTTATTTGCCACTAGAGAGCTCTGTCCTCCAATATCAACAGCTATACTTCTTGAAATATCACTGTGGAGTACTTATTCAACAAAAGATATGCAACTACCTTGCACTTTTTCAGTGTCCTGTAACCTTAAATATTCTGATTTATAGATCCTATAAACTACAGATTTAAGTTTATTTTAATTCAACTCCTAGCTAGACACCAGAGCTCCTAATTTGTGAGCAGTTGTTTTGTATCTCAAATATGAAAGGGTCTATATTTACGTGGGAACATCAAACTAAGAAGAGCATAAAAATATGTGCAAAATCTTCATTGACATATTTATTGATCTCAGAATGATAACATCTTAAATTATGGTCATATGGGGGTTTTACTGCTCCCATAATCCCTTGCCATTGGCCAGCCATGCTGACTGAGCTACTGAGAATTGAAGGGTCATATACTAAAGGGTCTATCTAAAGGGTCAAGACAGGTTGCTTTTTCCTTTCTTAAATCTTACCATGATAACTAGAACTCTACCAGATGATATTAAGTGATCCCACAATCCACTGTCTTCTTTATAGCTTGTAAGGCCACAAGCAGAGCATGTTTCATAGCAGCTTCTGTGCAGCCATATTCTAAATCTGGTCTTCAAGGTAATGCTTCATAAATATCAATATATCTCTATTCACTGATTTTTTTTTGAAAATCATCTGAATTAATAATTACATGACATCTTTATGGAAATGATGCCCATATGTGTGTGTGGAAACAAATTTAGTTTGTCTACTGAAAATTAGCTTAATTTGCAACCTTATGGTTTTAGATAAAATAAAAAATAAAATATTGAACTGATCCTTCTCAGCACTTTCCAAATATCGGCACCAAGGATTCCCTTATACTGAAGTATTCAGTAGACCAGAAATACATTTGAGGATTGCATTGTGCTAATCATGGATATCAAACAATTTCACACCCTTTAGTTTTTCTGAATTTTCTCCAACATATACTGTTTTTTACCAACCTAGTTAAGAATCTAGTGACTCTTAGAACTACTGTCTGAGGTAGTTTGGCCATTGGCCAAACTTTCTGAGAATTTTTGGATATGCGGTCCCAACAAATCTGAGAGACATCAACTTGCTTGAAATATATAAACAGAATCACGGATCTTTAATATATATTATTAAATAGAGTATTTTCCGTATGTTTTATTTTCAACAGAGCAGCCAAGGTTCTATATATAATTGAAGAGCTATGCTAAACACTCTCTCAAACACAGTTACGGATGTACAACAAATTTACAGTTGTTTCTAGATCAAGTAAACTGTAGTAATCCTCTATTATCTCTCTGACGAGGATGTACTTTTTTGGAGAAATGTGCTGGTCAACCCACAGCTTTGAATGTTTTTCCATTTGTTCATGCAGTTAATTTGATTTTTGCTTTCCTTAAGTGCAACAAAAAAAATCTAAATCAAGCAGCAAACAGCCTTTTTCACAAAGAGTAAATTTATGATGATATAGGGCAGTGAATTTCCTTATCTATCATGGGTATGGAGTGGCTGGAGAGCATAATTCAATACCAAAAATGTTATTAAAAAGTAGTTTATGAAGGACTTTTTCCTCAAGAAACCTGGAAACCATGATTCTAGTTCCACCTTAACCCATAACCACAGACTTGCAGTCATAGTGACTGCAACAGTTTTCCAAAATGTTCGGAACACTCCTATTTTTAGAAACAGATCATTTCAGTTGCGAACAGCATTTGTTTTCCCAGCAATAAGAGTGTATGCAGCATCGTGCTTGTGTCAGTTTTTTGGTGTTTTCTGTACCGGTATTTGAATTTGAGTTTTAGTCATTTTGACCATAGATGTTTGTTAATGTTTTTAAAAAAAATAATGTCGGGGCCAGGTTTTCCACCCAAAAGAGTGTGAGTTAGTGATACAAACTTGGAAGAAACTGTTCTAAAATGATATGGAGAAGCAGAGAGTGATCTGAGTGAAGTGGAATCAAATTGTGATGAAAATTTTGTAATGGATGATGAGGAACCCACCGCCGCTGATTCTGACATCAGCGATGATGAAACTCCCAATGAAATCAATGACCAGGTACAATCTACGTCATGCAATAATTTATATGGCAAAAACAAATGTAAATGGTCTTCTGCACCTTTTGGAAACAATAGATCCAGAACCATTAGTCACAATATTGTTGTGCAATTACCTGGACTACGGCTAGGAACTAGAAATCTCAGAAATTCACCTACTCCCCTCGAGATTTAGAAATTATTATTTTCAAAAGAAATTATTAGCACCATCATTCATTGGACCAATGTAAAAATTAGAGAAGAAAGATTGAAGTTCAAGGATGGAGAAACAAAAAGTGACCTGTGTGATGTGGATTTGATAGATTTCAATAATTTTTTTGCTTTACTGCTCTATACATCAATGTTTAGATCCAATCATGAAAACATCAAATATCTTTTTGCTACAGAGATCATTATGACTTCATGTCTGTAATAGCGTTGCTGAAATAGGACGTCTGTGGTTAAGGGTTAAGCATGAAAGGATGGCTTGGGATGGTCATTCTCTGTAAGCCCAGGGTTGTTGTTGTTGTGTGGAAAATTGGAGTAGGAAAGAATATTAGATATGTTTGCTGCCTTGAGTTATTTATAAAAATAAAGGTCCTAGATACGCTACTAGCCCAAATGAATTAGAATTCCTCTTTTGTCAAATTCCCATGTTTTAAATTATTTAGATAAGAATTGCAGACTATTCATCAAGTTATCAGTCAACACGACCATCTACTTTACTGGTTCAGAGTAATGGGACTTAATAGCAAATCAGAATGGCATTAGATTAGGGAAGTTTCTTTTGGATTGTTCTTTCTGTTATTCAGTGGAGAGAACAAACTTTTGCCTACAAACAGGCTTCACTGGTCTGTTCATGCTTAAACTTAAACAATGAAATCATCTGCTTCTCCCAAGGTAATCATCTCTGCCAGATTTCAAACAAAGATAAAAATCAGCTTGATCTATAGTGATCTTGCAAGAACATCTGATGTGAAGTTAAACTAGGGATTTGCACTAGGGCAAACCAATCAGTAGGTTTTTCACTGTTGCTTTAACAACCCCTCAGCAGGGTGAGGACAGGGCAAGGCTAAATTACTTTGCTGGCCTTACATACAGATAATAAAATATATATTTGCCTCATATTTTTTTTCAAATAGTGTTGTTAAGTATCAGGTTGCTCTATATTTTTGTCTAGAAAGAAAAACTAACCTGACTCCCATCTTGCAGTCCATAACACAAGGAGAATCAAAATCAGCTAGGAGATCTTCCATCTGATTATACCTCTCCCCATCCTTCACAATATCTCCATGATAGGCAGGAACATAAGGCTTAAGGACATCATTCATCAAACGGTCCAAACAACGCTGTTCAGACTCACAATGCTTCTTTAATATCCTCCCATTTGCAGCAGCTTTGAAGCTACCTGAAAGACAGACCAAAACAAAGTTGTTTTTAAAATGCAAATGGAAGCATTTTTAAAAATTGCCACAAAGAATATTTCACCCTTTTATGGAATGCTTCAGCTGCCTGCTACCCTCCAGGTATGCAGGATTTCAGTTCCTATAAAATTTAGCAGCATCTGGGCAGCAGCAAGTTGGGATCCATTACAATTCTTTGCTTTTTCTATTGCATTTAATCAAGGCTATATACCCTGAAATTTTATAGGTGCTGCTTGCGGGGTCAAGTGAAAATGCAAGTGAGATTACTTTTTCGTTCTCTGACCTGTACACAGACACTTTCTATTATGATATTAAATAAATGGCAATAATATGGATCTACTTCAGACAAAGCAGCATAACAAGACCAAAAAGAATATTTTTTTCAAATGGTCTTTCCCCCAGTTAATGTAGGAAACAAATAGAAAATGAGACTAAAAAACTCTCACATCCTAATTAGTAAAAGTGTTTCAATAGACTCTCTTATGTAGAAGAGGAACTGCTACCTAAGGTTACCCTCTTGTGATTATGAGGCTGAGCCCAACATGATTGTCTTATTTATTTACATCATGTCCATGTTACTGAGATATGAAATATATGCATCTCATGTGCAAATTGAATGACTATAGAGGAGAATGTTGCTAATGTCACATACACACATACTATTATATAACTGACTTTCTTTCTGGTCAATTTTCTTGCTCCAAACACAGCTCTTTTCCTGCTTTTTGTACTAAAAGTTATCTAAAAGTTAAAAAGGAATTTATATGAAAGATAAAAAGGATAGGGGAATCAATCAATTATTCCATGATACTTTTTAAAGCGTTTTTGGGATCCTCATTTTGTTTTGTTTTGATCAATCCTCTATGCGTGAATAAAAGAGAAAAGTGAACAGAAATCTATATCCACTACCGTCCTACTTGATTTAGGACAGAGACATGGGCAGATCATGCAATTTTCCCTGAGGAGTGGTGCAACTTCACTGCTTCAGGAATGCTAGAAAGCGAAATAACACATGCTCATTACCTACCCGTTAGTTCAGAAATGAGAATATGTACTCTTATTAATGTTATGATTGAAAGGCCAAATAACCTACCAAATGCCTTCTGAGACATCACTGATAAGAACTCCTCCCCCATAGGGAACAGCAATCTAGTCTGTATTTCCTTTTCTCGCATTGAATTGTGCACAGAATACGGATGATATATAGACATGGAGGGAAAAATCGGGATATCTTTTCTTATGACATCTTCACTTTGTTTCTGTAGACAGGATTTTGTGGAGGGAAAAAGCTCTTCCACAAGAGCTTGGGTGTTAATGGATATACAAAACTTACAGACTCACAGGCCAGAGATGCTCCACCCCTATTTTAATAATATAACTAAGAGCTGTTTGGGTAGATAACTAGGAGCTCTGTGGGAAGAATGGCTCCTATCACATAGTAGCAGATGGAAATTAGAGAGAAGTCTAACTTCTAAAAAACTGCAGAGGAAACTAGCAATATGTCTTTGCTTACAAAAACAACTTTACAATTCTTTATAGGGGGGCATACTCAGGATATCCTCATTAGTGGGAAGGGCTTATACCACGGGTGTCAAACTCTCAGTGTCACGTTGCTGTATCGTCACGTTTTGTGATGTTTTTCACATTTGCAGAGCTGGGATGGGCATGGCCTGTGTGTGATGCATCCGGCCCGCAGGCCGCCAATTTGACACCTGGACTCCTAGTATACTATATGGTTCATTCTGATGGAATATTAAGGTAAATGTAAAGGTTCCTCTCGCACATATGAGCTAGTTGTTCCTGACGCTAGGAGGGGGTGCTCATCTCTGTTTCAAAGCTGAAGAGCCAGCACTGTCCGAAGACATCTCCATGGTCATGTGGTCTGTATGACTAAATGCTAAAGGCGCACGGAACGCTGTTACCTTCCCACCAAGGTGGCCCCTATTTTTCTACTTGCATTTTTACATGCTTTCGAACTGCTAGGTTGGCAGAAGCTGGGATAAGTAATGGGAGTTCACTCCATTACTTGGTGCTAGGGATTCGAACCGAACTGTTGACCTTTCTGATCGACAAGCTTAGCGTCTTAGCCACTGAGCCACCATGTCCCTGATGGAATATTAGAATACTATTTTTTCTAAGAAACACAGAGGATTTGTTTTATAAGAAATTCAGACAAGTTGTCTGCAGCACAGACATAGCTTTGCTTTGTGCCCAAACTGTTAACATGATAGGACAAGGGGAGGATACAACATATTAGTCCCTGGGTCAAATATTTCAAGTAGCATGAAATTTTCAAGAGTTTATATATAATTCAGAGTTAAACAATATTTTGGAGTTGTTGAGCACATCTGGAATTTTAACAGAAAATCATGGGTGATTATACAAAACGGTTGCCATAGGAAGTTATTCACATTTATACAATGGTTGTCATCGTTTATTTCAAAATTATTTCCCCAGGATGAGTCTCATGATCCCTTCTAGCCCCCAATTTATTTTTGTCATTTTTCATGGCAGGTGACACATTTCCAGACAAACACTGATTTGCAGCCACATTATTTTTATTTTCAAGGAAGGTTTAATGAGTCTATATAAGATAGAGTCATTCTCCTTAACCAAAAACTATCTCAAAAAGCCCATAGTAGCTGGGAGTTTGGCAGCATATAAATTTAATAAATTATTATTATTTAAAATTATGCTAGAAGCTGGTGTCTTGTTACAACAGTAGCTTTGCATTTATTGTAATCATTTAATTAAAATAGTTTTTAAAATCAGAACAGTAAATTACTTCGGCACTTCCTCTACTATGTCTAAAACAAACCAGCAATTCTAGTACAAGCCTAATCTGACATTATTATGATAAAACAGCAGGAGAAAAACACAAGTACTTATAATACAATTTACAGAAGTAATTTATGTTGAGACTAGCTAATTATCTTAAATTTCCCAAGAGACATTCTGAACATTTCCCTTTCACTAAATGAAGTTTCCCTTTGAGAGGCAAACAGCAGAATGTGATCTGTAATACCTGCATGCCCTGCTAATTGGATCCAGGGATATTTCTTCTTAAAGGACATAACAAAGGGGGACCAATGCACCATGTTCTTGATTTTCCGCCACGATTTGCTCTAGAAAAAAAGAAGATAAATTAAAGCGACTACAGAAATTGTATTTATAGCAATACCCAGTTTAAAAACTCTAGTTAAATATGAAGAGTGAGATTTGGTGGCAGAACAAGCTCAACCAGGCACCTATGCTGAAAAAGACATCAATTCAAGATAAGCCAATCTACTGTGCATTTCTTCTTATAAGACTCGTTCAGATGTTCACACTTTCATGATTTGCTTGCAATTCCCACCATTATACTTGTGGTATACACACCCAGTGGAGGAAAAAGAAAGATACATTTGAAAAGTAAATGAAAGAAAAGATCTAAACTTTTTAAAACTCTTTCCATTCCCTACACATAACTGATCTTTTGTTTTTGCTATGCTTCAGATTTAAGAAACATGTTTTTCCGAGAAAGAGGTCTGCTTTATTTATTAAGTTTGGACTTAAATGTCACATTAAGCAAACACTGCACCAAATGCAGTCCCACTTTTGATTACATCATTATTATTACGTCTTTCCCTATGCAGATATGCTAGGAGCCTACTGAATGAAAGGAGTAGTGAAAAACAAGAGTTGCCCACATCTTTTCCAAACCCAGCTAGAGCAATGTGCACCATTCTGCTGATAGGAAATATCCATGGCAGCAGAAAGCAGCGACACGATATTAGCTAAGACCAGACAGAGTTGTACATTAATTACATAAGAAGTACCTTGATACTATACTGTCCCTTTTCTCTTCCAAAATATCTTCAGGGTGGAGGAATTCCTGAATAAGTTAGTCTTGTTATTCTCTTTTAGGAAGAATTTTCTCCAAAAAAAGGAGAAACTTTAGCTAGTTGCATCAGCAAAGCACCACTTAGAAAACAGAGGAAAGCCTTTCTGAAAGAAAATAGTTTCCCACAATTTGCACAAATGGAACATGTGGCTAAATTAAGGCCGAGGTGTTTCTTATCTCAAAACCAGAAGGCAGAGTAAACTGTCTCAGAAGAAATATGCAAACAAGAAAACAATGGGTGAAGTGGTTAACAGAATAAAACAAGACAACAAGAAGGATTTTAACACTAAGCAGCCAAGTATCATAGTCAAAGTCCACACTGAAATGTCGAACAGAGAGCAGAATAATCTAAGACATATAAAAGGAACAAAATGTGAAATTGCCCATTATGCTTAAAACAATTACATCTGAAATCTGATACAGTGGACAGAACTAACCTATGCACACATGAAATGCTTTTGAATTTTAAAATTATTTATAGTTATGAACCTGATAATTTCACTTGTACTAGAAGACCAAGGAAAAGCTCAGCCATAAACCATATGGCAGTAGTTTTATTCAAAAATACAATATGTGTAATGTACAAAATTTTGAATAATTATTCTCTTATATTGGAACTTTTTATCATTTGTTGCAGGCTGCCATTTTGCTGTTTTTCCATCATTGAAAAATCACATGTAATCTATGCAAGTTTACCTAAATTTCTGTAACAAACTAATGTGAACACACCTGGCCGTGAAAAACTTAAGGAGCAGCTATGACATGCTCGAGAAGATAAGTAGAGGAGTGAAATAATTTCAGCGGCCTCTTTTCTTTCTTCATCAAGTTCATGTTTATCCAGACTTGTAGCTTTAGCCAATTTACTGTCAACATTGCTTAAGGCATCTCCCTATACCAACATGTGGGTTTTCAAGAAGAATGCCAGGAGCTCTGTACTTTGGCTTTTTTGTTCGTTGTTGGCAGAAAGCACTGTTGGATTCCCCTTTACTAAAGTGTTTCTTTGCTTTGACTTATATTTACTTAATTCTTTTAAAAGGAAAGCCTCTCGGGGGAATCTGGGTTTCCACATCAAGACTCAACTTGCCCAGAAGAGGGATCCTCCTATGAAAATGCAAACATTAAGTCATTCAGTCCCAGCATAAAATGTTCATGAGAGAAGTCACTGTTCTAGAGCCAAATTTTTCTTTCCACAGTGGTTAGAAATCACAGAGCAGAAAAAAATCGGAGCTACTTCAAAACCAGTGTTAAAAGAAACAAGCACATAGTATCATAATAGCCTCCCAAATGCTGTTATAAACATGCTCTTGTCGAGATTAATATTTCCATTCTACACTGATAATGTTCAAGTCATAAAATTATTGAAAAATACAGGGATCTAGGAGAGATGTGTATTAAAAGGGTTGAAATTTACATTTATGATCTCAAATTTTTTTTAAAAAAATTAAATGATGTGAGTCCAGTGTCATTGGAACATGACATCAAAAAATGATCCAGAACATATAGCACTTTAAATGTATGTCGGAAATGTAAACAACAAAAAGATTCAATTTATCATGTTTAGTAAATGTGTAACAAAGCTAAAACATTTGGATCCAAATACATATTTTGATACAGAAGATTTTCAAGATCAACTGAAGCTGGATTTTTTCCTTTTAAGATTAAGAATATATTGTCAACAGTTCTGTCGACTGGAAATCTTTTATGGGATTTTTGCATAAAAATGAAAAAAATAACCTTGTGATTTACAGTGTTGATAACTTTAGACAAGTTAGATTATAGAAAGAAGAGTAATACGATGTAATTTTAGAAAGAGGTCAAGATATATTTGTGCTTGTGAATTGCCTAAATAAAATCAGAAGCCATTACTTTATATTTTCTTTCTTTTCTATTTTCTATTTGTATTTTCTTTTTTTATACTTTTTTCTTTTTCCTTTCCTACTTTCCATTACTCCCCCCCCCCTTCTCTCGCTCTGATCGTTCTGATCATTGTTCTCTGTGTTCCAGTCTTTGATCTTCTTTTCAGGTACTGGAAAAATGCTTTCATATCCTGATTCAATTATGCTTTTTCAAAACTAAATGTACTGTACTCCCCCTAGTTTCTCTTCCTAAAACTTAATTTGTTTATTAACTTGTTGATTTTCTCTGATCTGATCAAGTTTCTTTGAAACTTTCTGAAAATGTGGAGCTTTGAACTAGACATATTATTTCAGGTCTGACCAATGCAAAATAGTTAAACTATTCTTTCTCATAATTTGGAAAATAAACTCTATGGATATAGCCTAAAACCAGTGATTCACATTCACTTGTGATATACTTGTGTTATTTCCAAGTGTCATTATCAAGTCAGGTGCTCTCTGTCCTATATCTGTAAATGTGATTTCTTGTTCCTAGGTGAAGTACTTTCAACCCCCTTCTGCAACATTAATATTAACCCTAATAATACATGCTTTTTGGAAGGTAAGCTTGTGTTTCTAATAATGTACATGTGTTTTATGCCATGTATTAAGGGGAACAAAAAACTAATTCTTATGTGCTGACAAAGTCTTCCCTTTCATGCCACATGTGAAAAGTTATTATTTTAGGGAATTTTTATTGCCTATTAATGTGTAAAATATGCATACCTATACTTGTTTCTCTGGAATATAGATACAGTTCATTTATATAATTAGATAATACAGAGAGTAAAGTTGGTATAGAAGTTAAGGCACCAGGCTAGACCATGAGGTCTAGTCCTGCCTTAGTCTTAAAACCAGCTGGGGGAAATTCACTTCTGGGCTGGACTAGTCACTTATTCCCAGTCCTAGGAAGGAGGCAATGGCAAACTCCTTCTAAGAAACCTTGCCAAAGAAATTCTCCAAGAATTAGACACAATTGAATGAAAGAAATAAAAAACACACAGGTAAGACCTCCAACACTAACATTTCAGCACAAGCTCCTGAAGCTGACAAGGATTTTTAAAGTAGCCTGAACATAAGAAAAATTAACTTTAAAATTATTACTGTAAACTCAAAAGATAAGACTTGTTATTAAAGAAAGCAGAATTAGTTCAATGAGCACCTATTAAGGTTAGCTGTTTTCTTTTAGTTTATATTAAAAATAGTAGAAAAAAGTAAATCTTGCTTTGTCCACATCAGGAACATATCAAAGTGACTTAATGATATTTGAATAATTGGCATTCGTTCATCTGAAACACTATTTATATAGTTCTCTAATAGAAAGAAAGAGAACATTATCTAGTAGATGGGTGAAGACTATGGAATCTTCTAGAGATTGTTGAGTACAATTGAGTACAATGCCAGCACTTCTAATCATTAATCATGATGGCTAAGAGTCTCTAGAAGTTGTAGTTCATAATATGGACCTCTACTGCAGATTATATTATATAGCCTTTACTGGGTGGCAGGCACTGATATTGAAGTAATGAGTTGGTAAGAGTAGGCTTTCATGCAATTCCTTTACCTACTCAGCAGCTGAACCTTTTTATAGAAATCATGACATCTACCTAAATAGAGAGCAAGAATTTCACATAAGAGCAACTAGATTTTGAATTTAAAACTGATTTAAGGAATCCAGTGTGTGTTTTTGTGATTCCATTTAACCCGGTTTCATTTCTGAATTAGGTGAAATAGCATTCCAAGGTTCCAACATGGGTTGAGTCTGCACTCCCATTTACTACAGAACAGTTGGGAGGATAATTCTCAGGAAAAAAAGTAACATACAATCTTTTTGCCTTTTGTTCTAGCAGCAAATTATATCTCTTAAATGGGCAAAAATCTGAATTTTGAATGTGAAAACATTGGTTAGGTTCTGTGAAAATATTATTTTATTTGTCTATCCTTTTAAGTAAATTCATAAGGAACGGTATTCTGCCAAATTTTCTCAACTTGTTTTCCCCCCAAAAGAAAGTAAGGAAAAATGGAAGTTAATTTAAGATATTTATTGGCCCAGGTATATGGAGCAACATGTAAAGATTGGAAACAGCATTTTGCTCTGCAAACATAGCTTTCTTTCTTTTGTGTAACACTAATGAATTCTAAGAATAGTTAAAAGAATTTTAAAGAAGAAAAGGGGCTTGCTGCCAAATAAGTCACTTTTTTAAGCTTATAGTGTAGTCAATTAAGAAATTGTACACCTTGGTAGCAAGCAAAACTGTCATCCTTACAGAGAGTTGGATAGTTTTTAAAGAATGAAAGAGGTTTTTAAGAAAATGCAGGAAAAACAAATACATTCCCTTTCCTGTAC